ATAGATAGATAGATAGATAGATAGATAGATAGATAGATAGATAGATAGATAGATAGATAGATAGATAGATAGATAGATAGATAGATAGATAATCAATGTTCAGCCTGAGCTATCAACCAATTAGTGGTTTCATCCTGCAGCAAAATTTTAGCCTAATGTATAAAATTAAACCTCATTCAGGTACAAGGAAGTTTTCAAATCGATTAAATTGACACCTCTGAACCCTGCATCTCACTATAATGTACAGGAGTGTTTTGTGTGTGTGTGTGTGTGTGTGTGTGTGTGTGTGTGTGTGTGTGTGTGTGTGTGTGTGTGTGTGTGTGTGTGCCACTGACCTTCCATGTTGATGGGAAGTGAGATTTCCTCCGGATTCAGTTTATCCCAGCGGATCTCTGGGGTGGGGATGCCCTCCGCCACCGAGCACGACAGCCTGACACTTCCTCCCATATCAATATCTCCATCCCACTGGCACACAGGCAGCGACGGCGGCGCTACGGAAATAATCCACGGATTTAATGCAAAAAAACTAGACATACTTCTCTGTGAGCACTTTGAATTTATTTATTTTTTTAAGTCGGTGGCATCTGGAAGCAAATCTGACCGGACAGATGGTCTGTAAAAAAAAAAATTGCACTGTCTGGATTACTAACGGGCCCTGAGGAGGACCCAGAATTTAAACTTCACACTGAGACAGATTTCATTTGACACAGTAAATTCCTCCTCTTGGACCAATGTACGTATTTTCTATCTTTGCTTTCGTAAAAGCCTCTGGGTGAGAATTTAATCAGACCATCAGTGTTCTTGGTTGCAGTTTTTGAATTTGTGTTTTTTGTGCGGGAGTGATTATTGAGCTGCAAAGTAGTGAACAGGACAATATCAACATAAACGTGCTTCCAGTGATGATGTTAACATGTTTTGCAGGTATAATGTTGAGCAGCTTCACCATCGTAGTGTAGAATTTTAGTGAGCTAAAATAAACCAGTGAGCACAAAGGGATGAGACTGATGGGAATCAGTTGCTAGTTTTGCAGGTATTGGATGGTTATCAATCATTTCCATTTGAGAGGACGGGCACTAAGGTTCTACCAGATTTGCTTTGCTTTCTTTTATTTCACAATTTCTTAACATTTTTGCATTAAACACAAAGTTTCTATATGTGTGCAGAGATAAGAAAGGCGTAGTATAGTGCTGATAGACAGCATGTCCTCCACTCTTTTTCAAGAAAAAGACTATTTTCTTACATTTTGGAAAATTACATAGAATTATCTACTGAAATCTCATTTTTTTTAAATCCACATTTGGTTCTATGATTAAGACCTGAGAAAGAGGGGGCCTGGAGTCTATCCCAGCTGACTTAGGGTGAAGGCAGAGGACACCCTGGACAGGTCTCCAGTCTATCACAGGGCTACACTTAGAGACAGACAACCAAGCACACTCACATTCACACCTACGGACAATTTAGAATCACCAATTAACCTCAACATGTTTTTGGACTGTGTGAGAGGAAGCCGGAGAACCCGGAGAGAACCCACACTGCACGGGGAGAACCTGCAACTCCATGCAGAAAGATCCTCACCGGGACGCAAACCAACAACCTTCTTGCTGTGAGGTGACAGTGCTAACCACCTTGCAGCCCAAACACCTATTCCTTTTACCTAAAGTCGCATCTTTGCCTCTTGTCTCTCCCTCTGCACTTCCCTTCTGGAATACAGACCAGTCTTTCATAAGTGGAAACCTCTAACGGTTAAACAATTTGCCCAAATGATAACAACCCTCTCTAATCAGTTTTATTTGCTTAAGTTAAGAGATCTTGTCTCAAACTGGAAATATGAGATAAGGCCTCCAAACATTTCCTTCAGTGAATCAGAAACTGTTTTATTTCCAAGTAGGTTTCCACATATGAGGAATTTTCAAAAGCTGCAAGGCAATAAACTGTAAATGCTACATGATAGATTAGAGGTAAGTGTTACAATTTGGATAAACAGCAAGTGCAACAAATCCAAAGTTTCATTTAAAAAAAAATAATAATAAAAGACAAATATTTACAATGGGTTTAATTAACCAAAGCACTGGACAAAATTAGTTTTTACCCGATGAGTCACACTAGAGACAAAGTCAGTTTATCACCAAAGAATGCATTATGAGCAGAAGTTTGGAAATCCATTTAACAGCTCACTGAAATGTATAAATACCAACCTCATGAAGGCATTAAAGGAAATGTTAAAGCAGTCATGAGGATACATTGGAATCTCTAGAGCCACTGGTAATCTCAAATATGATGGGAAAACAAACAATATGAAGATCCGACTAGAACAAAAGTATAGATACTATAACGGCTGCTTCATATGTGCGATCGCTGTAGTAGAGTTGGACAACATGTTACAGACAGACTTACCCAGAACAGTGAGCACCAGCTCTCCTATACCAGGATCTGCAGTCTCTGGTGGGTTGTTGACCATGCAGCGGTAAGTACCTGCATCTGATACTCGCGTGTCATTCAGGACGATATCTGCACTCAGGGGAATGCCTGCAGTTGGTTGACAAGAAATAATTAAGGTTTTGTCTGTCTTCTATTTAGAGTTGCAGCTGACAAGGGAAAAGGTATTCAATGTCATTGTTAGGAAGCAAAGGTGTCAGAGGTTATAATACCTGTAAAACCCACCCTGCCAGTGAGGGAGGGGTCCTCAATCACCTGTCCGTGGTCGTACACAATCACCTGGAAGAGATTTTAAAAATACAGTTTTCAGAAAAACGCTTCTTGTCCTGATTACAGCAGGTTCCGCTTTTCAGGACATTTTGCTTTTTTAATCAGATCATAAACCCGAGGAAATTATAATGAAACAGTTCAAATAGCTTTTTCAATCATTCATTCAACCTTTTTTTTAAAACTCAGAATATACTGAAAACTAAAAGATGCACACGCGCAAATAGGAAACATTTAATTAAAAGAACAAATGAATCTACTAAAACAAGAACAGCTGGAGGTAAAATAGGATGAAATTAAAAACCTGAACTGCCCTACAGATAAGTCCAGTATTAGATTGTTCTGTGTGTGTGTCATTCCAGGTTGCAGGTGCACGGTGAGAAAAACTGGATTTTTCCTGGCTCCGTAAAGAGCCGACACCTGCAGCGCAATCCAATCATGTGAGCTCGTATGATTTGGGTCCACATTAAAAGACAGCGGGTGTGCAGCCAGGCTCTGTCAGAGAGGAGAACAGTTGCCCAACCTTTGCGTACAGCTCACAATGTCGAGCATTAATCTGAACTAAACGAGGGCTGCAGACTGTAAGAGGTGTCCATGTGTGTGTGTTTGGGGGGACCTGTATTGGGGTCTCTGGACTGGAGAAGGGAGCCAGAGTCCAGATAATGTTGAGTCTGGAGAGGCGGGTGGAGGTGTAGGTGAAGAAGGAGCAGGGCAGGATGACAAAATCCCCTTGAACCACCTCCAGACTGGATTCCCTCATGGTCACTCTGAGTGCAGCTGTGTGGATGAGCAGAGGTGGGAGAGGACAAACAAAAAACGCGTGACATAATGCATTATTTATTAAAATCCCTCATGTTTTGTCGTTGTTATTCCTTCTTTGACTTCCCTGGTTGTTCTCCTGTTGTCGTGCAGACTGCACCCTCTCCTCCTTCATTACTGCGATAATGAATCCCTCCCTCCCTCCTCCTCTGTCATCCCCAGGCCCTTTGTGTATGTGTGTGTGTGTGTGTGTGGGAATTCAGTGTGCATATTAGTTGTTAATTACACTTGACAGCTCTGAGGGTGAGCCAAACCGATCACAGAGCGAGTGGAACAACAGCCCACTTCACTGGGATGTGTTTGTGGAAACATTACTGTCAATTCACAGCATTGTCTCTGTGCAGATCACCGCTTTCTAAAATGTCTGTCTGGAGAGAGTTCTTCAAATTAAGACCTCAAATGTCAGCATTGTTAAATGTAACTACAATATTAAAATGTTGCTCATTAGAGAAAAGTGATTAATAAATAACAGCATTAAATGCAACAACAACAACAACAAATCTCTTTGGTTCGCTTGTTGGCTGAAGCTCATCTCTCCTGATGAGTTCACTCTTGCATTTCCATCTGGAAAACACATTTAATTAAGCTTTTAATTGTCAGCGAGGACCATCAAACATCACTCCAAATACTCAGGAGATTTAGGTGAAGCTCTGACAGAAGCTTTACAGATCCCACAAAGCACTTGAAGCCCCAGCAGTCGATAAAATGACCAGAACTTTATCTTTGTCGTAAGACACCAGACGGGCCTACTCACCATTCTCCAGAGCGCTGAAACACACACACAAGGTCCAGAGCATCCATCTTCCAGAAGAACCCATAGCTGATAGGGAGGACAAGAGAGGCAGCCCTCTCTGCCCGCCGTACAAGCTGGTGGCCAAAAAACTAGGCATGCATGATTAATCTATTGAGCGATGCAACCAGCCCCACCCTCCTTTATTTTCACTCTCATTAAGTCTGCTTGGAGAGAGAGAGAGAGAAAAAAAAATCTGTAATTAAGTTGTCGGGTAAGTGACTGCAGGAGGGGTTTTATTAAGACCTATTAACTGTTTGTGTCCAAAGTGGCAGAAGTGGTACCTATAGGAGTGAGCTAGTAGTCTAATTAGTTATTGTAGCATGAAGAGCTGCAGCTGCTGCAGAAATATCTCATATTAGGACCAAGACAAGAGTCCATAATGGTTAGCATATAGTGTGAATATATCACGAAGTGATGTGTTACAGTGATGGGAGTATCAGAAGTTAACCAGCAGTACTAACAATAATCTCAATGTCATGTCAGATAAGGATGCAGCAATATATATTGTCTGATTCTTTTAGGGTTGTTGCTTTTGTATTCATCTCTAAACGAGGGGTTGTGTTGGTTCTTTTTTCACGTACCATTAAAGATGAAATCCTTTTTCGCGATTGCTGGAGTGAAACATAGACAAATCCACAACTGGACCACCTTAAAATGAATCTTTAATGGATTAGTTTCTTATTTATTAATCAAAATGAGTATTTTTTTAATAGCAGCTGCTTAAATTGCTATAAATTTAACTCAAATGCATCCTGTGAGTGGCAGCAAGCTACAGCAGCAACGACCTCCTCCGTAGTCTTTATTCTGTCAATATTTTTAGCCTTATTGTGCTTTTATATTTCCTGTCTTGCTTCTTTAGTGCCTCATCTGTATCTAGTAACATATAAATGTCCCTGTTGAGGGATCATTGAAGTTTTATCTTAAATGTGAAGGACTGTTAACTGTGATGATTTTCTAACTGTAGTATCTAACAGACGAAGTCATCAATAAATACAAAAAACTCTGATCAATCAGTAATAACTGATGATAGTTAATCTGAAAACAGCCCGTCATTTCATGCACTTGTGGTTTTTGAGGTTTCTTTGGTTGTGTTATACGTTATCCTGTTTTGTAGATAATAGACTCTGTCATCTATCAGATCTAATTTTTCTTCAGTTTAAAGCTCGTCACTGAACTAAAATTGCTTCTATTTGGGAGTTTTTCCAAGACCAAGAGCCAACATTTAATTTTAGCATTTCTACACTAAGTCATGCTAAAAATGACTGATCTCATAATGATTAAACAACCGCTTTGTTCCAGAATAAAAGACAAATGAATCCCTTCACTCAAACCTGCTTCACTATTTCGATGGATTATTACATAATATCAGTCAAAAACACACATTGTCCACCCGAGAAACCCAAATCAGCTCTGTTCCGTGAGAAATGCTGCGGTTCTGGACCCGATGTTGTACAGTGACTGGAGGATCCGAGGCACTGAAAGATCTGAGGTTGTCACTGGTGTGTAGAAATGTTCAAAGACAAGTATCTGACACTAGCAGCAAGTCATCTGGTGATAAGGACATCCTCCAGTTATCACCTACGGGCTAAACAAAATGCCGTCATAGCTGCTTTTCTGATGGATTTACATAAAGCGTGTTAGTTATTCATGACCCACATAAGTGGATCTGCCTGCCAAGTTCCCCAGTGATCATCCAAATATGTTAAGTTCACAACCAAACGTCGCATGTCGGCTAACAGTTACGCCACAAGGGTCGAAATTCAAGCCAGTCAAAATGTCAAATTTAATGAGCGTCATATGGAAACACGAGTAAATGGTTTCACACGTACGAGCACCATGACGACTTCAGGAGCGACTGCAGCAGACGGATGGTTTCTACCGAGCAAGTAAATTAGTTCCAAATTGAAGAAGAGTCGGTCTCAGATATGACGCAGCTTCAAAAATAAGAATGAAAAAAGTTATGTTTTGACTAAATGCAGATTCTTGAGCTAATGTAGGAAAGTAACATGTGACCTTTTCAAGCTTTCAGACTTGACCTTTTGTAATGTCACCTCTGTAACTGATACAAGCCGTTTTCATTTTCCTGCTGCAGCTTGTTTGGACTCCTGTCACCTCTCTTTCCCCTCTTAAAATTTAAATACATGTCCCTCTGGGGATTGTGCATATTGCTGATACAAAATAAAGATTAAAATAATTAATACATGTGTGCTTGAATATGCTATTTTTGCAAATCACATCAAAAACAACATATTGTTAAGGAATAAGGAGGCAGTCTGAGCCTGTTTTCAGGTGCTGTGGATTTTTTTGTTTATTGTGTGTGGGTCTGCATGAATCAGCAGTGACAGCTGACTGAGATACTGGAAAAAGAGATGTACAAGGAGGCTGACTGAAGGTTTAGCACTTATGTTATCTGTTTGGTAAGCAGTAATAACATTTAAAAAAAAAAAAAAAAAAAGGTAAAGCAGGTTAGTAGTTTAGAAATGTCCCAAATGTTTTAGATGTTTTGTGATCACAAATCAAGTTTCTTTTCTTAATTGCACTCATGTAGAAACACACAGTAAATTTAACTTTTAAAAACTAAAACCAAAGAGCCTATGGCACAAGGTTGACTTCTCCCAATTTATTGTAATGACATCCAACACCAGCTTTGTGCGTTTCAGCTGTGAGATACAGAATATTCCCAAGACTAGAAAATAAAACATCCCCACTGAAGAGAGAATTGGCAAAACCATTCAGTATTTCCTTTTAAGAGCGTCTGTAATCAATCAGGACTATACAGTTATTAAATTTCATGGTGAGGTCGACCCGGAGCTTGGTTACTTTAACCAAACAGCTCACCACCATAAATATGTACAGCACTGTGTCCATTCACAGTGAAGAATATACACACTGTAGCATCAATCCACAGAAAACACGCTAAATATTTCCATTTTGTGTGTGGCCACTGAACAGGGAGGCGTGTGTGTGTGTGTAAATCTGAACTGTGTGCATCTCAACATTAACGTACATTTAGCTCCTTCATTCTGTCTTGTAAGCGAGCAAAAATCACAACCACTTACTTAAAAGACCACAAACAGCAGCACCTCCCGTCTTCTTTATCAAATTCACAGATAGAAGTGTGTAGAAATACACACACACAAATTGTGGGATACATGTGCCCGCTGGTTTGACATGTAACACTTCCCTTTGTAAAGCGTTATCGTTGTTTTAGTGACACATTGCCAATCTATTCTAGGGTAAATACCTAATTCCGGTCTCTCGTGAGATGGGGGGCCACAATAAATAGTATGAGTGAGACAGAGCGAGAGGAAAGAAAGAGAGACAGGAGAGGCAGCGAGACAGACATGTAAGCGGAGTGAGTTCTGCCTCTTCTCCTTCAGGGTAACTGGGAGTGACCTGTTGGCAGCTCAGCCAATCACAGGAGGATCCATATCAGATTAGACCAATCAGATCACTTCAGTGAGAGGCCTCTGCCCGTCGCTGCAGTTTAATGGCAGTACAGTCTGATCACAACAGCATAGTGACGGGTTTCTCCAGGAACTTGCGGAACTCTGCGAGCCACTGCGCGCCGACCGCCCCGTCCACCACCCGGTGGTCGCAGCTCAGCGTCACCGACATCATGCTGGCCACGTCGAACCTGCCAAAGCCAAACGCACACTGCATTAGATACCAGCTTTAAGTCCGTCCAGCTAGTTGAAATATTCCTATCACGACACTGACCCTTTCTCATTGTCAGCGGGCATCAGCCGTTTCTCTGAGCCTCCGACAGCGAGGATGCAGGACTGAGGAGGGTTGATAATCGCTGAGAAGTTCTTGACGCCAAACATCCCCAAATTAGAGATTGTGAACGTACCTCCCTGGTGGAAAGAAATAGCACAATTAGGAGGAATGTTCCAGTTTGTTAGTTCACTATTAATAGATGAAATTTGCATATCCCACATCCCAGATTAAATGCGTATACCCACAGAGTGAGATAATGCGCTCTACCTGGAACTCATGAGGCTGCAGTTTGCCGTCTCTGGCTTTGGCAGCGAGAGAGGACACATCGGCGCTGATGGCAGCCAGTCCTTTGGTGTGGGCGTTAAACACTATGGGCGTGATGAGACCGTTGGCTGTGCTCACTGCTACGCTCACATCCACCACATGATTCCTGGACAAATTAAAATAAGTCAATACTGAGGACAGCACATTCATCTGGTCAATGTGACTTTGCTTCTGCAGTGAGACGAGTTGAAAAAATGTCTGAGCTTAGAGTGCCCTCTTCTGGCAGAACTGTGAAGCTGCTCAATTAGAGATAAATATCCAACAAATAGGTCACATTAATATTCTAGCCTTACAATACTGCTGTTTTTCTGTTGTATCCTCTCCTTCATTGGTCTTTTTTTTTTCTTTTAATAACTGAGTGAACCATGGAACAATTATGCTTAAACACTAATGTCACATTATCTTGAACATCCACTGCACATCAGTAACCTGATTACTGGAAGAATTCTGGTAATGTATAAAGCATTTTCATACACTGCAAAATATACATGAGCTTGCTCACATCCTCCACAACACTCGGCTTCAATCAATTAATCAATTATTTGTTTGGTTTTTAAAATGTCAGAAAATAGAGAAAAATGTCAATAAGTGTTTCCCCAAAACCCAAGATGACATCTTCAAGTGTCTTGCTTTGTCAAAACCTACAGATATTCAGTTTACTGGATTTAGAGACTTTGATGAATTTATTTTTTCTGCAAAACCATTACTCAAACTGATTGTTAAAATAGTTCAAAATTAATTTAATACTTCACAAGTAATCAATTCAATCTGCTAATCATTGCAGCTCTCCACACCAATGAAAGGATGAATCATTCTGCTCAAATGCAGCCACAGTAACAAGACTGGACGTCAGGTTCATGTGTCCACACACTGACGTTGTTTATGCTTTCGGTTGCTGTTTCACTGTTCCTGCTGGTGACAACTTCCTGAGCTTCTCCAAGAGCAAGCATGCATGTTACCTAGAAACTTGGCCCATGCTCACATGCAAAAAGCATTCAAGAAACCTAATTCTGCGTGCATGTGGTAGAGATATTCTCCTCTTCCTGTGGAAATCAGGCTTCTGTAATGTCCCACCCTGATTAAAGCAACATGGTTTCTCATTTAAATGACAGCTAGGAACTTAATGGGAAACGCTGACTGTAAGGTCATCTAAATGTTCCCAAGATTGTGAGTGATAATGAGCAAATTTATAACCAGAGAGAGACTGCTGAGCAAGATCAGCAGGTCCATGAATCAGGAGAGTATTTTTCCAGCTTACTGTTTACTGGAACCAAACAACATGTGTATGTGTTTGGATAACCTGTTGGTGTGTGTTTACTCACTGGCGAATGACCGTGTCCATCCAAGAGGAGTTGCACTCAGGAACCTTGAGGCAGGCCAGAGCGCTGGCTTTGATGATGAAGTCATTCACACTAAGTTTGATATTCTGGGCTTTCACCTCCTGTAAAGAGATTAGGTTGTTTATGAAACACAGGAAATCATTATCCTAGCTCAGGAATAAAAACAAATTGCATTACATGTCCATTTACAAGCATAAACTCACCACATTGAGCTCTTTTCTAAGCTCAAGCACTTGGTCCATGTTGACATCTACAGATAAGTAATAGTGAGGGATGGTTTGCTTGGACTGCATCAACCTCTGAGCGATGACCTGCAGGAGACACAAATATATGCACTTCAGCTGTGAGCTATAATTCATCGTGGAGAGGAATGAGGTGTGTTGGGAGTTGTGATAAATAGAGTGTCTGTCTGCAGGCCAAAATGTGGAAGCACAGGTCAGAGATAACAGAGCTACACTGTGAAAACTCCTCAGGACGTTTGCCTCAAAGCACTCAATACACCAGCATCGCAGCCTGCATAGAAGGAACCTGTCATGACTTGTACCCGACCGCCAGTAGAGGAACTTCAGTAAGGGAGGATGTCATCATGGAATATAACGGACCACCAGGAGTCCGGTGTGTGTTGGCTCTCACCTTGCGGATGTTGCTGATAGGGATGTCAGTGAAGGTCCCAGCTGGTGCTGCAGCAGGTGTAGGAGCAGATGGAGCAGCAGCTGGAGTGGGAGCAGCAGCTACAGCCTGCCAATGGACGTGGTTTCATTTGCATCAAAACAAATTACAACAAAAACTGAGGCACATACAGTGTAATACAAAACTTTCAAAGTTTGGACAAAATGGGCAAAAATCATAATCTTGATTATTTGCCAGAATAGAACCTGAAGAAATTCAGTATGTAATGAAGTAAAAGAAATGTATATCACTTTAAAAACATACCAAACAGGCATGAATTGCATGTTGATGAGTTTATAACAACAATAATTAAACAACAAATTGTTCTACCACAACCTCTATAGATACCAAACAGCATAATAATAAATACAACTACTGAATAGTGGGGGCTTCACTTACAGGTGCAGCCTTTGGAGGAACAAAGCTATCGATATCTTTCCGGGTGATGCGTCCATCAGGACCAGAGCCTAAACAGAAAACATATTTATGTATAAAAAAAAATATTCTAGCACTTTTCCTCGCTCTGCATTTAGTATTTCATCAGAATTACAAAAAAATGTTCTCCTAAGTTACATTAGAGTCACACATGTCCTGGTTACCTACCGCTGACCTGCGCCAGGTCAATGCCTTTGTCAGCAGCGAGTTTCTTGGCAAGAGGGCTGGCGAACACACGGCCCTTCCTGGGCGCCGCTGGGGCAGCAGCTGCTGGAGCAGGACTGGGGGCTGCAGCAGCTGGAGCTGCAACCTGCAACATGAACACAAAATGCTGTTAAGCAATCTTAAAACTGGTAATGGTGAAAAGCACTTTACTCAGGAACTCTACATAAATGCATTTTTTTATGTCCACGTACTTTACATGAGTTTTTAATATAAGATAAAACTTTATCAATCCTGAAAGAAATTTAATTTTATGCTACTTTATACTTCCAATTCATCACATTTTAGAGGAAATGATGTATTCTCTACTCCACTACATTTACTAGATTTTAAGATGAAGGTTTTACACAACTGAATTAACTTTTCAAATATAGCTTATTGCTAAAGATCAACCCAGTAGCTTCCACCCTTTTTGACTTCTGATGTCTTACAAAAAGCAGAGTAACACAAGGTCATATTCCAGATGTGTATGCACTGCTAACAGCTCTAAAAAATAGAAGGATTACAGAAAAAATCTAAAAACTGAAAACAGATATGTGCATCAGAACCTTGTTTTTTCTTTGTTCCACTCCCATAAATCACCTCACAACCACTCAGATCCATGTGGTGTCCCTGTATATAACACTGTATGTAAAGTAGGTTAAACTAGCTCAACCTGCAGCAGCTTAAACAGTAACACACTGATGCTGTATTAATAATAATCTAAAAATGTCATATATAATAAAATATCAGTCAGAGGGACCAAACCAGTACTTTAATACTGTAGTTACATTTTGCTGCTCATACTTGTGCGCTTTTGGTTAAGTACGATTTTTCATGCAGAACTTTTACTTGTAATAGAGTTTTTTTAAATGCTGTACTGGTACTTTTGCTGACGTAAAAGATTGGAATACTTTTTTCCATTAATAATGGCAAAATTCAGTTTTTGGGTACAACATCCACTTATATTTGGAAATCCAAGCTTTCTGTGTGTCTCACCGGTGCTGGAGCTGGAGGTGGTGCGGCAACGTCAACCACCCCAGTCTCTACATAGTCCTTGAAGGCAGCAATGTCGCTTTCCTTCTCCACAATGATGCAGAGTGGCGTTCCAAGGGGAACATCCCGAGTTCCCTCTGCCACCATAATTTTAGCCAAATATCCTTCTTCCTGGACCTCAAAGCCTGCACACAAACATATGGAAGGAATACGGTGAGGCTTTTCCGTCACGGTCATCAGCATAACAAACAACTGAAACAGATAGTATAATAAGGTATAATGCTATAAATCATAGGAAAAGAAAAAAAAAACTACACTTAGAGTTCTCTGATTACTTATTTTACAGAATCTAAAAAAAACTGGAGTCATTATATATGGAACATTTTTCCAAGTGAAAAAAATAGTGACTCTTCATACTGTAGATATTTTATTACGTACATTTTAAATTTGTGTCCACACTAGTTCAAAGTCTGATAATTCTCACTTTCTACAGTTTCTGGTTCTGAAAAATGTTATAATTTTGGCCATTTCATGAAGACAACAACATGCCTTCAAACCAGTTGGCAGCTTCTAGGGTTTAGAGTACAGTATGATCTGTAGTGCACTGTGGGTAAAAAAAAAAAGAGGCTCTGACAGAGCAAATACACCAGGACCGAGGTGTTGAAATCACTTTTGATTTACCGATGGTGGCCTTGTCAGTTTCAATCTCAGCCAGCAGATCTCCTTCACTGAGCTTCTCTCCAACCTTCTTCTCCCAGCGCTGTACTGTTCCCATCGTCATCGTGGGAGATAGAGCAGGAAGTGTGATCTGTAACACACACATCAAACACACACGAATGTGAGCAACACAAGTCCAGAAAAAGAGATGAAATCTTCGTAGCTCACTTGGGACTACAAACTTGTAAAAAGCGCTGTGAGGGCTCCTGAAGTCTTTACAACAGATCTAAAAGGCCTAAATGATGTAACAGCAGCAGCCATGGTTCACGTCTGCACATGGAAACTTTCTGAGCATCCTGTAACAAATTAAAGATTTTCTCAGTTTCTAAACTCTGGCTCCATGATGAAATTGCCTGACTTCAATCCTTTTTTTTCCTCTCTGTTTTTTTTAATACTTGGAAACAATGGCAATGTGGACAGCTAGATATGACACAAAAGCCCTCAAAAAAAAAAAGGTCTTTCAAACAGAAACAACAAAACAATCACAAATCAGTTCTACACATGGCAGCTTTTAATGTTACACCTCAGGGGATTTATCAAGTGGCCGATCAACTCAAAGAAAAACCTTGACACAACATCAGAGAGAACACTGCATAGGGGCACCAAACAAGTCAGTTCTGTTTCTCTGCCCACACACACACACACAAGCAATGATGCTGTCACATACTATCAGAGTGACTGGACAACCCTGATGAAACTACAGCTATGACTACAGAGCACAGTGACAGTAAACAGAGTCTACATGGCATGACTCTTACTACTTCGTACCTGACTGTGCGTTGTCTACGCAAGAGCGCACCTACCTTCATGTGTGTTGGGTAAGAGCTGCCTGGGGCTGCAGGAGGAGCAGCAGCAGCAGCAGGAGGAGGAGGAGGAGCAGCAGCAGAGGCGGCAGGTGAAGGAGCGGATCCAGCTGATTTGATTGAGTCCAGCGTTACATCCTTAAAGGCAGAGATCAAGTCGGGGCTGCAGGGGAAAATACACACACAGGCATTGGATATAAATTTATGCAAAGGATACTTTAGTCGTAGGTGGGTCTCCTAGTCGTAACAGTAATGTCATACTATTGCAGCAAGAAAACTAATAATGCTATTAAACATTGATGTAAACAACTGGTACTAACTTGTCAACTGTGATGCAGATAACTGCTCCAACGTTGACATCTCTGGTCCCTTCAGCAACCAGAATCTTTGCCAGATAGCACTCTTCCAACATCTCAAAACCTACAGTGGCCTTGTCCGTCTCTACCTACAAAGACAGAGAACACAATAAAAAAAGCATAAAGTGATGATTTCCTACAATAATGTGGGGACAGATTTACACAAACAAAACTCCTCACCTCAGCTATGAGATCACCCTCAGCAATTTTATCTCCCTCCTTCTTCTCCCAGCGAGCGATCGTTCCCGTCTGCATGGTGGGTGACAGTGCAGGAAGCTCCACCTGATGAACAGCAAACAAATTTTAGGAGTTTAAGAACACATCAGTTATGAGCAAGTGCCATATTTAATCTGGGGATCATTCAAAAATAACAACAGATCACCACTGTCATGTTACGGTCAGTATCCTCACCAGGGTTTCAAAATGGGGCATTGGAAATACTGCCAAATGGCCAGTGTTGTAACTGCAGTTGTTAAATGTTCCTCATTCCACTGTTTAATAAATGACATAGATACTACATTTCATCACATCTGTGATTTTTTATGGTAGCTTTTAAGGTCAAGTAAAATCTGATAACAGAGATAAACTTGTGCTACTGGTGGAGAGACAGACAAAGGCTCGTAGAGTGATTCTCGAACAGATTTACGTAAAAACAGAGACACGACAGGAGGAATTAGGAATCAGGCTGCACATCTCAGATTTAAATTTTAAAAAATTGGAAAGAAACTTAACAGCTGCACATACTGGAAAATTAAAGGTCACACCCGTGGCAGGGAAACCTACACAATAAAGAGCAAGCTTAGTTTTCAACACTTAAAACAAATGAAATAAAAACAATACAGAAATAAACAGAATCTACAATAACACTAATATTACTTTTAAGAATAATAAATGGTATGCCCCAGTTAAATAGCACATGCTATACATTTTCAGTTTTTGATGATGATTCTGCTTTACCTACTACTTCGGGGGTGTTGGAGATGTACTGGACTGTATGACATTCTAATGTGTTCCTAACATTTTGTCCACCAATTTACAAAGCAGACTTATATTTTCATATATGTCACCCATCATTTTGACTTTGCCAACAAAAACTGAAACTGAAAGTGTAGTAGGTCTGTCAAACTGATATTTAGGGCAGAGCTATTGCACTAGATTCCACAGGTGAACCTAAGAACGAGGCCAGGGAGTGTATGGATTTAGTACACAAGAATAAAAGGTTCTTTACTATTTTATCCAACAGCAAATAACATGAACACACAGTAATGTTTGTTTTTTACTAAATGTGTTACTCTTTACCACCAACTAGGTTTAAATTTGTGCAGCTGTGATGAGCTCCTTCAGTTCCTATGCGTATTGCATCTACGAGGAGAATAGTATTAATCAAATGACCCCTCTATAATCAACATACTGGCTTTGAAAGTACACTTAATGTGGCCACCTTCCCAGTGAACACACTGTATATGTAAAACCTGTTTAAAATAAGTATGCAGTAGTAAAATGTGGCACAGCACTAGGCAAGTCAATCAATAAATGTACTTGCAAGACGTGACATAAATATGACATAAGAAAACAGCCTGATTTTGCTGGTTTTATAGTACTGGAACCCCCAGTGCCCCCCATCCTTTGGGTACAATTGTCAGCTCGTGTCAACACTAAAGAGAGGAGATCCCATTAAAGAGCTATTCACACAGTTCAGCTAAAGTGTTACCTGAATGCCTCAAAAGACACTAAATAATGGAAAAGATTGAGATGACAGCAACCACAGTGATTGTGTTGGGACATGGGGACACTTTCTGACCCAGAGCTGAACGTCTACAACTCAATTAAATGCATATTAAAGCTCGATGTGGGAACACCACATTCCTATGGTGCCACATACCATCACTAACGGGAGCACTGATTTTGCAACTTAAGACACATAATGTTTGTAGAATTTGATGCTACAGTTTAGTTTAAACCATCTGCAACGACTCGTTCTACCGCCCGGGTTTAACCTTTAAAGCAGTGACAGCTCTGAGATGTACCGAGCAGCTCTCATGCTAGCTGGGGAGGTCATGCTAGCAGTAACGGTGAGCAGCGGTGCTATAGCAACCTGAAAGCCGGTCGGTTACCTTCTGGTGCGGCGGCAGGCTGTAGAAACGCTTGCTCTGACAGCCGCCTGCAAGCTGGGAACACCGCAGGAGAGTCGCTCTGTGACTGAAGCCTGAGCCCAGAGACACGGCCCGAGACCCGGCTCCGCAGTGCAGCCGCCTCACGCCACCGGTTCCGCGTATGGAGCGGGAGCCGAGCGCAGCAGGCCCGGTCGGGAGGGCACGGGGACAGGGGAGCCTGGAGGCAGGCCTGAGCCGCAGGATTAGACGAAGCATGTCGCAGCGGTTGTAACACTACACGGAGCGGTTAAATAATGTATTTGCCTCCAACCGGCATCAGAGATACGCTGGTACCGAGTCTCTCTGCGCCCCAACAGCCTGGCCGAGCTCACTGCTCACTTTCTAATGACCTCCCCCTGTCCAAAACACAACGCTTTACGGCTCCGTGTCCTGCCGTCAAGTCGAAGGAGGTGTCGTAAAATGGTGGTCATTCGAATTTCAATCACGGAAGAACAAAAAAAAAACACCACCGCCTAAAAAACCTAATATAACTCCATTGAATAAAAAAAAAAATACACACGTGTTGCTTCAAGTTAGAAACTATACAGGTTATACAGGACTGCAATTACTACAGAGACCGCATGGTGGCAGCAAATATTTGACCGTAGAGCACATTGACAGTAACAGCACATGGTGTACAATGAATGAATCTGTCTGTCATGAACTATACAGCTTATACTGCTGCATGTTTTTTTTTTTTTTTTTTTTGCTTGTTTGTTTTTTTTTTGCTGCACTGTTTAATGAAATGGAAATCACACATATGAATTCCACATATTCCTCCTGACAAGAATTTAAGATAAAGCTCTATGAGTTTGAGCTGGCTTTGTTTGACTGCATGAGTTTTTAATGACAATGCCAGTCCAGCCCATAAAATATTCAGAAACATGTAGATGCACCATAAAAACAAGAACACTGACATCTTTTAAAAACAAACTTGTGTTTTATTTCAAAACATCTGTCTTTCTAACATTCAACAAAAGGCGTTTTTGATCATTTGTCTTCAACAGACAGTATACTTTTTTTTTTTTGCAAAAAAATAGCTGTAAACAACACAAATGCTTAATAACCATCTCATCAGCAAATTGTACATTTTACAGTACAGGCAGTCTTGGCATTCAGATTGAACGTAATAACTAGACTGATGCATATTTCAGTTGGCTTGTTAGTGAAGGCAAACGCATTGATCCCAAATGGGAAGATAGAAGCAGAGTGAAAAGAAAACGTGTGATAGTCACTTTCGGCTCACGAACATACATTCACATGCACACACACATTCGCACCATAAATAGTAGGCTCGCTAATAGCTGCAGAACAAAAGTCTCATCAAACCTCTGACATAAAATTCATATCCACGGCATCATTTTAACAGGAGTAGAGGCATTCTCGTCTCATAATATCTCTTTAAAGAAATAAAGAGTCCTAAACTTCAGATATTTAAGGATATGGTGAAAACACAAATTTACAAAACAATTTCGTAAAGTAAAAAAAAAAAAAAAAAAGCGTGCTGTTTGTCTGAATCTCTTCATGAACATCAAAGCTCCAGTATAGTTTCTACTCACTGACAGCAGGTCAGTTTGAGCTTGCTGGTGTGATACAGGTTGACATTAAAACCCACATCTGGATTTGGGTCCCATTTAGTCTGAAATACAATGAAGTCTTCTCTCCTTTTTTTTTCTTTTCTTTTTTTTAAAACAACAGAGCTTTCTGTTCAGACAGCACCGCATGACCATTATCCCCATTTTTACTAAGTAGCTTGTGTAGCACTAAAACAAAATGACAATTTTTTTTTTCTGACAATGACCTTTTCTGTCCTTCTAACACTTGTATTAAATAAGTGGTATTTTGTTTCTAACCCATTTTTTTCCTTATTTCTTACAATAGTAGGTAACACTGTATATATTCACTTTACATTCACAATAAAGACTCAAATGTACCTGACTAAATAACAGTGGACAATAAGTATTTCTAGCATGTAATCTGGTGCTGTGTGTCTGCCTTGAAAAAACACAATAATGCACTAGGAATGAAAAATGATAGCACACACTGGAACATGTCACTTTCCCTGCAAACTTCTTGCCTCAGCTGTTTCTGACTATTTTTGAGTCCAGTTTTGATACAACCTGGCGTTAATAAGCACATGATGGAAATAGCTTTCCTTCCGAAGGCACTGAGTTCCGATGTTCCAGAGGTCAGTTACAGATTCACGCTATTTCCAGAGTGAGCAGGGCCATCAGTTTGGTTTGGGACCAGCTGATCCTGATCAACCTAAATCTCTTGCTGACAAGTCTTACAGTGCTATGCTAATAGGTCCAATCTAAGAAAGTGTCCACTTGTGCCTTTGTTGTGTACAGTTGCCTTGATGTGCCTCTGGGATCAGAGCAACCAGGAGCAAAAACAGGAAGTGTCATGGCTCCTCAGCTTACAATGGCCTATGGCAGAAAAGAATATGGGTTACTTAGCACTGAGAATGACAGAAAAAAAGAGACACACAGACTTAATATGCTGTTACCTTTCCTCACCACGGTCCTCTTCTACCCAGGCCACTATTTTTCCTTCCCAGCCTGGAACGATTGCCCCATCCATGAATACCTGCACAGAGACACCAAGAAATGTTGTCTTCATGTATGGCCATTCACAATATTTCATCCCGTCATCTTTAGATTGTAGTAAAAAACAGGTTAGTGCTTCACATTGGGAGTATTTAGTATGTGCAGCAACTTTTGCCCCAAAACAAAACAAAACAGAGTTTTCATTGTCAGCAGGGAATACCAAACTTACTATCACTATCCTGTTATTTACAGCCCCTTTGAGATGTGAACTTCTTTCCGTTAATCTAACAGCATTTGATGTGTCCCTGCTCACTTTTCCATAAAAGCCAGACTTAATAAAGCAGTAAGCAGAAATATGACTAGATCAGACCTCTTAACATTAATATATCCCTGTTAACATGGCACAAGCATGCCGTTGCCTTCTCGTACCTCTTCTTTCACAGTGCCAAACTCTGGGTCCAGGGCTTTGAAGTGGTACCTGAAGTTTCCCTCTCGATCAACAGCTGCCTTAACATCCTTAAGAGTCACCTCACCCAGCCTGTACAATGCAAGCAAAGAGAATCTCCCATTTTGACGTCTTGTGACATTTTTCATTATTTTGTTTATGTAATTTTCTACCATTGGCCCACTAGCCTAATTTCATGGGTTAGAATTATCAGCCTCACTGAGGACTGGTAACTGAAAGTCAAATGTACTTATAAGGCATGAAAACTGATAAATGTCTGACAAATAAAAAAATATACACAAACACACTAACCTCTTCGGTATATTGATCATGGAAGGTGTTGGGGATTTTCCAGTAAAATAAAGGATTTTCGTAGAAGAAGAGGAACCACTGTGGGATTGACAAATCTCTGTGATAGACCAAAAAACATAGTTAGTAAAATCCTAAACATTCTGTGTATGCAGGTATTTGTAGCTGGGACATAACAGAACCTCTTACTTGTGGAAGGCCAGGAGTCCAAGTCTGTGTGATGACCTTTGCGTCTTGGAGATTTCCCCCTTCCCTGGATAAATTAGCATAAATGTGGACATCTTGTCATGATTTTACACATAGTTTGGACTTATGGGTATATGATCAAAGCTAATGGCCACATTAGTCACACTAGCCACACAACACACTAACAATAAGGATTTCCCTATGTCTGTGGGGACATTGCCACAAAAAATAAAAGTAATCCACTCGGTACTCAGTTTCTCAGCTGCTGGGAGTGCATGAGGACACTCGTGTTTGCTCTTGTAGCCAACGGTATAACATTTAGTGAGCTTCGCTTGTGGCTGAGAGACTTTTGAGTTCGAAGCAGCTCTACAAAGTAAATAAACCTAGTGTACTGTGAGGTATCTGTTCATTCTGAATGGCTCACACGGAAGCAGCGACCATCAGGGGCAGAACCATAAACCATACATTTAAGCTTGATGACTATCAATAAGGTGTGAGGTAGAGCTTGAGTCAAATTTTAACTGACTTGTAAGCTGGGAGGCTATATAGTCGTGGGGTGCTACAGGAAAGGGTTAAGTAAGCATATTGATATATTAACAACTTTTAGTTTACACCTACAAGATTATAACTACAAAATCCAATAAAAATAGATTTTTCCACACAAGACATTTAAAGTGATCATCAGCTGACAAAAGAACAAGTCAGTTTTTCAGTTTAATGTCTGTAAATGCCACTGTGTAAATGCCAGTTACACAGCAGCCTCAACCACCACTTCATGTGACACCAAACAGTTTTGGCTGTTAACCCACAAAAGAGGTACAAACATTTTAATAGCTCTTTTTAACTCTGTTTGGATTAAGAAAAAAAAAATCTATTTTTTTCTCATTGAATATTGGCTTCAAAGACTCAGGTGTGTTTATGCATGCATCACGTTTGTACCCTGTGTGTGTGCAGAACATGCAGCCTGTCGATGAGCGACACTATGCCCTGTTCCACGGTGTCTAGTGTATGGTGCTGTGGGTCATGGTCTCTGAAGTTGTTCCTCAAACTCTTAAGGGCATCTCTGAGCAGCTGAAGCTCCTCTGCCTGCTGATAGAGAACAAACACAAAAAGCCTTTCAAACATTTATCAACAGTTGTGTGCTTGTTCATTCTTTTACTGCTATTTTTGTGTATCATAAGCCTGTTCTGCCCGACTTTTGTCATATACAAAACAACAAAGCAAGAGTCTTCTGGGTAATTCACAGCTCATATGCACTCTATCACACACACTTCTTTAAACCTGCTATTCTGAAAAGATAGAATGAAGGTTCTAGGATTTCATGTTCATAAGCTCATTGACAATACTTACACCTGACACAGAAGGAGCGGAATTTCCAGAGTAAGAGTATCCATTGTTTTCTGCACCGGTGGGAATCTTTAAAAAAAAAAAGAAGGATGAAAAAGTTGTGTAATGTATATCTTAAAACCTAAGCACAGAAAGAGTTAGTATAGAAACAGCGCTACCTGTTGCAGATCTCGACTCATGAACTCCTGCAGCATGCTGTTTTTTTGCTCCAGCTCTCTTTGCAATTCAGTCTGTCAAAGAGACTCGTAATCAGTCATTAAACACACAATAATATACAGCTAAACAAGTGAAGGGGAATTAAGCACAGTGTCCTGCATGAGGAGTTTATGATTAACTACTGATCTGAGAAAAGGAGAACCTTCTGAGCCCACTGCTGCTTGTTGATCTTCCCTGTAATACCCTGAGGCATACCTGCAGCTTTTGGCTTTCGTCGAGCTTGTGTTTGTATTGCTGAAGTAGTCTGTCCTTCTGCCCGATATCCTTCTGCACCCAGTCAACCAAAGAGAAAATGTGGGGTTTGTTATTTAGCCCAA